AAAAAATCATCAAATTTGAATTTCATCAGATTCGAACTCCGAACCCTAAGCCCTAAGCATCGGTGATTTTCGCCCGCCTCCGCTCGTCTCCGGCCGTTTTACGCTTGCCTCTTCCCAGGTTCGGCCAATTTAGTGTCCATTTTATGCAATTGCTAATTGTTTGTTATTTTGAGTATTTTCAAGTTCAGACATTTAACTTGATTTTTTTTTTCTTTTTTCTTAGCGGTTTTGATGAAAAATGGACAACACATATGCCTTCTCAGCTTAAAATATGGATGGAGTAAATGTTGGACAAGATGGGTTATGTGAACTTGAAACTGAAGAGCCCGAATTGGAGCTGCGTGGATCCGAGCGGGCTCAAATACGATCTTCAAATGGTATGGTTGATATTCTCGAGAATAAATTAGCTGTGGGAGTAAACTTAGATCTGGGAGTGGAAAATGACGGATTTACTGTATCCGGCATAGACGTAGATCCCCTGCCCGTTGGAGTGGTTCCAACTAACCAGCAGGTGGCGGCTGAGGATCGGAGGAGGAGAAAAATGGTTCCAAATATGAATGGGTTGGATGCAGCAAATCCCATGCCTCCGCTCCCCCCGGCATTGTTACTTATGCTCCAGGATATCCAGGAGGATATCCAGAATCTCCAGGAGAGCCAAAATTTGGCCAATCTGAGGATGGATACATTATTACGAGTCACGTCTGCGAGGAGTAGAAATCAACGCATCAAGGAAGAAGAAATGGATGAACTCTATCGGCCCTTGCCAAAATTGTTGGTCGGGCATCCATATGCTGCGGTATTACCCGTCCAAGGAGTCAATATTGCTGTGGGGGGTTATCAGGTGGGTGATCTGCCCCCTGACGGACTGGTACCGACAAACAATGAAGGGTATATAGAAGCGAGCCATCTAGACCTGCCTGATCTTAGAAGAAAACTTAGAGCTATATATTGGTTTTATCACGACGACAGTTTGTTCATCCCCCACAATGCCCCACTGCGAATGTGCCGCCAGGGTTTGGTAGCTCTTAAGAGGTTTCACCTTCCTTGATGTTCTCAGCCCTCAGGTATAGCCTTATAATGTTATTTTTGTTTTTGATTGTGGGATAATATATGTTTGGTAAATCATATGATTGTGTTGTATTTGTGTTGTATTGTTACTGGGATGGGATGTCCCTACTAACTATTTCCTCTCTTCTTCTACCATCCTTCTCTCTAAACATGATTTGCTTTATGTGAAAGGCCTATGAAAAAATGTTGTTAAGATTGCTATGCTATTGCTTGTTTTCTGATTAGCTCATGTTTTAGTTTTCTGTATATTTTGTTCTGTTGCCTAAGAACCAAAAAGGGGTAATTCTGCAATTGGCCATTAAGGCATTAGCTGGTAGTGACACATGCACACATAAAGCATGTCGTCTTCATCATTTTGTAAAAATT